CAGAACCAGGAAAACTTTAGCTACAGGTTTGTGTTCTAGAAGAGATGGGAACTTGATAAAAATGAAAATAGGAAGGGTAAGAAATGTAATCCTAACCTAAGATGGGGACCTGTTTCTCTCACAATGTAGTTTAAGACATTTGGGATCTATTTTGTCTGTGGCCTCTTCAGAACATTCCACAGCACAATAGTCAATGGTGCAGGGACGAAGCCTTTCAAGCAGTTGATGAGATTAAGGAGGAAAGGACATCCGTAAAGTTTCAAGGGAAATAACTCTGCCCTTGGAACCAGAGCTTCTGCCTATCCCTCTCCATAGTCAGCCAGCAGGAAAGTGAAGAACTGTTCCCAGCATGCTCTCTGTTGCTCGCTTCCCTCCTCCATCACTCTTCCACCAGACCTATTTTCTCTCTGACATTGCCATCCTCCCTTTCAAAACAGAACAAACTCACTCTGGACAGATTATACTTTAAATGTGACTCTTTTGCCCTGAAGTGTTTCTTCTAGTACAATTTGGTTTCAGGCCTTCTCTTTCCATTTGTGGAGCAGATGTTTCATTCCCTTATCAAATATTCATCAAGCACTCATATTTTGTGTCAAGCACAAAATGCACAAGTTTTTTGTGTTAAGCCCACTGTGATGAACAAGACCAGTGTGATCGTCATCTTCATGATGCGTACAACTAGTTTTTGAGACTGATGTCATCCAGTAAACAGTAAACCTATATAAGTACTAAGAATATAAAACCAGATGCTGTTTGAAGAGTCGTGTTTGCTATATATTGGAGCTCTCTGGAATAACAGTCAAGAGCCCTGAAGGGTAGAAGAGAACCCTCCAGTGTGCACAGCTAGGAGGAGAGCCTTCTGCAGCAGGCAGGGCAGTTGACAAGAGCATCCCCACATGAGCTACTAAGCAGAGAGCAATTGGGGGCAGGGGGTGAATGGAGATGAAGCTGTTGAAAATGTCAGGACCCAGATCCTGCAGGCTTTTGTAGACTGTGCTCATCATTTGAGTTTTAATCTAAGAGCAGTGAAAATCTACTGAAAATTTAAGTAAGAATTGACATGATCCAACTTATCAAAGATATTGTCACATGTGTTACATGGAGTCGCTGGAGTTGCTCAAGCGTGGAAACAAAGAAGAGTGGTTCCTGGCCATGGCTCACGTGGCATGGATTCCTGCAGCTCCTCTGTCCAAAGCCATGTCCCCGGCCCAGCGCCTGAAACCAAACTGGCTTCCTCATGCCAAGTCAATCCCTGGCACAGAGAGATGGTGGTTGGTGCTGGTTCACCATCTACTACACTTCTCTGAACAGTGCCGACACTGATTTTTGAAATTGAGAATGTCCATATTCTCCCCAAAGGAATATATCCACTTGTGGCCTCTTAATGTGATCGTCTTGTCATCCTTTACTAGCTGCATCCTTCCAGGGACTGCCCCATATCTTGAGTTACAGTGGTAAAAGAGAAGGTAAAGTTGCTACAGCCTACTTGTATTTCAAGACAGGACTAATAAAACAGATGCACTGGATTTGTGAGATAAGAGAAGGAAAGGGATCCAGGATGACATCACGTGATTACAGCACCATCTACCATGGAGAGACAATGAGGAGGAATGGAGCATAGCTTGGGAGGGAAGGTTTCCGTTTTCTAGTTGAGGTATTGAAGATGGCAATACATTTTTCAAGGAGAGATATCAAGAAGGCAGATGGATAAACCAGCATAGAATCATCAGGTAGGACAGAGCTCAACAGGAACATTGGAAACTTTGCAAACAAGCTTCACAGATAGGAGAGCATGCCCAGTAGAGACTATGGTGGGGGGAAACGACCGAAGACTAAAGCCCTGATAAGGTCACAGAAGGGCAGAGTGAGGAGCAGGGGACTGGGGTGTCATGAAGCTATGGGTCCAGTTTGTCTATGGAAATACTTGTCTGTGTGAGAATGTGGTATGTGAAGGTGAATACACAAAGGCATCCTCTGAATTTGATGCAAAAGTACCACTGAGTTGGGTGTAGTCAGAGAGCAAACTCTAATGAAGCAAATTTGGTTCTAGCCAGTGTTGCTGGGATAGTGTTTGGACAGAGCCGCAGCAGAAATCCCAGCAGGCCTGTTGTGGCTGGTTTCAACTTTGTAGGATGCACCCCTGTTACATATCCTGTTAGAACATCTTAGAGAAGATGCAGTGGAAACATCTTCCTCAACCACTGCGTAAATGTGCATGATCATGTACCCTAGCCTGTACCGGGCACATCATCACATACCCAGTTTGTGCCCAGGTCCATGATCACATATCTTAGCCTGTTCCCAGGTACAAGAAATAAAGAAAGAAGGAGGGGAAAAGAAAAAGGAAAACAAAAACAAAAAACATGGTCTAAAGGAATCAGGCCATGGAATTAGGAATCAAATTACTAAATTTGAATAATTCTTTCATTGTACACCATGATGTCATGAACTTTAGAGTCTGAAAGATTAGAGAAGGGGTCTTTCTGTCCCTAACTCATCTCACCTTGGTGCCGTAGGTGACAGGTCAAAGTATACAGAAGGGCTGTCCACTGAGGTGCCTTATGGAGTTCCGAAAGCTCATGCCTGTGTGGGTACTGCGTGTCCAGCACAGAACTATAGAGCTCCTTTACTCAAAAATTAAATATATGCACATATATAGATTCCTACCTCTGAAATGTTATACTTTATACACAGTTAATTTTTATTTCTGATTAATTTTCTTTATAGGAAGTAGCTTAGAGCCCAAAAACTCTTAGTTTCTCCTCCAGTTTTTAATCACTTATTAAAAATCTCTTGAAAAATCTTTTTATACTGACTTGTAGATAAACCCGTCTTTATCTTGTCATAGGGAGAGTTACTGGAGATAGGGAAGAGTAGAAGGAAACAGAATAAGGCTCCAGGAATGATTCCAGGCCGACTAATGACAGCTGCTTACATGTGTGAATTAATTTTTTCACGGTCTGAAGAGAACTCTCCTGCTCAGCCCCACGCGTATGGTTGATGAGATAGTGGGGAACAAATGCTAAGTACTCTGGTGGGGGACAGGACCAGTGCCTTTACAGTCTCACAGGCTTTGCCTTATTTGCATGGCAATTGGATGAGACAATTTTCTCAGTCAGTAAAAGGGGAAAAGAACCCCAAGTGTTACTCTTGGGTGGCATTCTATAATTTTGGTCAAGCTACTTAGCCTCCTCTCTGCTTCAACTCCTTCTTTAGGAAATGGCATAAATAATGCCAACCTTCTGCCTGTGTCTCAGAAGTAGTTTAAGGCCAGCTAATTGACTCTACCATATGTGATGGAATGGAGGGGGAAAGAGCTGTTAACATGAAACATCATTGCCATGGTCCCGGTCAGAATGAATATTGCACAAACTACCCCAGGTCTTTTGAATGGTGTGTTCAACTGCTTATGGCAACGTTTCCCTATATTGGCAAGGTGCCACTTTCTATTGAACTTTGATTTTAACACTAGCCCACAGTAGGACATATTGCCGTTTGCACTGAACACATCCACTAATTCCATATTATTCCTAAAGTAACCAAGGATTCTTGGTTTATGATGTGAAAATATTCACAGATACCAGTTTATGGAGAGAAGGAAGATAACACTGTGCCCAGAATAACCTGTTCAGATTTCACATCAAAGGAGAAACTTTTTACAGCTAATTTGGTATTTTAAAGGTGGCCAGATTGTTGGGGAAAATATCAGCTCCATTATTCTCTTTTTCTCCTCATCTAAGTCACTATTAGAAGTGCTATATAAAAATTCTCAACTTTTAAAACAAAGTAGACTCATGGTATGTGTGGACTGGATACACACAAGAATCCTTGATGAACTCTGACCCGTTACAGAGGTCAGAATGGAATCACATCCTAAGGCTGAAGGGGGCGGGGGAGGCTCTCTTAGCTACTAGTGGAGAAAGATCACCAGCTACCCAGAATTCAATATGAATGTGGCTTCTCTCTCACTCCCGCTCATATATCAATTCCTTAGAGAAAATTACATTCTAGAACGATATTACAAAACTTGAGGGTTTTCAAAGGTCATGAGACATATTCCTCACAAATATCAAGGGTTCCTGAATTAGATTTCCCTGCTTTATTTTTGCCTTAGGGTAAAGAAATTCAAGGGGAATGTTATTGTTCGTGGTCGTAACTAACTCATCTTTGATTTCTCACACATCTGTTCCCTACTTGACTTCTGGCCAGTGATTTGTTTTAAGTCATTTCTTACAACACATACATATGTTGTAAGTTGTTCAATCCTTTTTGGAAGTAAACGAAGTACATCCTCAATGGATGTTGAAGCTAGGCTTTCTTAGCTAGCTTCAGCATCTTAGTTTATCTTAGTCTAGGAGCCATCCCTGTTAAAACTACCAAAAAGAAAAAAGAAAAATCAAAAACAATGATTTTCTTTTTAAGGCAAGAGAGCAATGATAGTTTTCAGATGAATCAATCCAAATCCCAAAATTATCAGGCAATTGCTGAGAATTGTGCTTTGAGCGACACCTAATGGTTGAGAAAAATCACTAGCCGACTCCTTTGAAGAGGGCTCAGACCTGTCTGTGTTTCCTAAATCCTGGCTCTTACCCATCTTCCTCAGAATCCCCGGGTGCTGCTAAAAACAAAAAGGAGCACCTGGTCCCTTCACTGCTGCTGGCCAGGGCCGCTGGGCAGTGTAGTTTCATAACCACCGTGAAGGCTGAGAGTCATTAGTTTAAGTATTGTCAGGTCCATGCTAGGCTTGACACCAGAAGTTAGACCAGGCTGAGGCAAAGGGCTCAGGCCCGAGCTGTGCCTTGAACTCTTGGGCATAAAGGAGGCCCAGGGTCGGGTGGGGAACGGAATCCCTGGGCGCGGCTGGCTGCCCTCTTGGCAGTGAGGGGGTGCTGGCGGGGCCCTGGAGAGCAGCCGCCAGGCTGCCAGCCCACGGCTCTGGCGAGGGGGGGAGCTGAGCCCGGGGACGTGGCGCGCCCTAACGCTGTGCTTCGTGTCCGCAGACGAACCCCACGCCTGGAGTGCTGCCGCTGCCGCCGCCCCAGGCCTGCCGGAAGTAGGCGTCTCCCTCGAAGACATCCTCTCTCCATTCTCTCCATCACATCCAGCCCCACCCTCCGACCCTTCTTCCCACCAGATAGGCCCAGACCCAACTTGGGATATCCAAAGGGAACACGACGTTAGGAAACCAAAGGAGCTTTCGGCCGGCGGCCAGAAGAAGCAGCGCCTGGGGGAGCAGAGGGAGCGCTCGGCGAGCCCGCGGCACAGCAGCGCGCGGCCGAGGCCGGAGGAGGTGCCCGGCGGCCAGGGGAGGCCCGAGGCCGGCAGGCCCGCCTCGGAGGCGGCCGACGGGAAGGAGGCGCTGCGGGGCCGGCGCGAGGGCCCCGGGGCCGCGGGCGCGCGGGAGGCCGAGGCCAAGGTGGGCGTGCGCTCGGGGTCCCGACCCGCGCCGCGGCCCACGGCAGGCGGCCCGGCGCGCAAGGCGGCGGTGGCGCCGGGGCCCTGGAAGGTGCCGGGCTCCGACAAGCTGCCGGGCGCCCTGCAGCCCGGCTCCTCGGCCGCGGGCAGATGAGGGGCCCCCAGCCGCCTCCACGCAGGCCGTTCTTCCCGGGTTCCGTCTCACGGCGTTTTAATTTATTTTCACTGTCACACGCATAGATCCACTCGAGACGCCGAGGCCTGGGAGCATCGGTGTGCGACGCGCCAAGGTGTGCTCGCAGACCTAAACTGATCCTAAAGCCCCCGGTTCCATGGTGGGAGCTTTGGCAGCTATGGAAGAACCAAAATCACGCAAACATCACAGAGAGACAGTGCAGTGTAGCTTTAGTTTAAAAAGAGAAAGAAAAAAAGTTTCCCCCACTGCATGAAGGTTTCGGATGTCATCCAAACTTTATATCAAGAAACTGGACAAGTTCAGAGCAATCACAAACTGGAATATCGCCTTAAAAAAATCAAACTGCACGGAGCAAGCGGAAACTGAGACAAGATTATATCTTTTAATTGATCTAAAGTGTTGTAAATAAATCGTTCTTGACAAATCTAGACAGGGGTTAAAGGGTTTCTTTGAAACATTAAGAACTGTTCGCCCATGACGTTTCCATGGCTCACCCTCGGCATCCACCAACGGTATTAGCACCGTTCCCTGCCTCCTGCAGGATGAGTTAGAAACCTAGTGAATTCATTGGTGTGATGCCGTTTTTACTGCCATTTCTGTGATCAAGTCATTTCTGTACATTTTCAGTGGTAGGGAAAAAAGGTTTTAAAAATTGTATCCTAGGGAACAGTTTGCCGTAAGTCAGAATTTCGCGGGTTAGCGCGTAGATCTTAATTGGTTTTCTTCTAAAATATGAGTTTTATAATCAAAAGACCGTAATCTGTTTCATCGAGATTGGCAACGCTGCAGTTCCTTCCTGAAACGGCTTTCCTGTCATACCAGGCGCAGAGAGATAGGTAGCTGCTTGTTTAGCAATGTTCTATTTTACCTATTTTATTGTCTTATTTTAAAACCTCTTCGTTACTTCATTTGCACTTTGACAAAGTATTTGTCCTATATTTCTCAAATTAGAATGAATCTCTAATATTAAAAACATGATAACTAATTTATTTTCATTAAAGAACATGAGTCCTTTGGCATCCTTTCTGTTTATCTTTCCTTATTTGATGTCCCTTTGGTTCCCATTTGGTTTGCTTTCGCCTTGTATAATGTTTTTTATTATACTAACAATCTATAGATGATCCTTTATGTTACCCCGGTTACCATCACAGGTCAATGATTGACCCTGTAGTAAAACTGTAAAACGTTAGCCTCAATCAGTTATCAACAGGTACTTATTAGCTGCGCATATTAAAAGGCAAGATGTCTAAAGACAATTTGTTATGAATATATTTTGTGTAATTGAGGCTTCATTCCTTCCCATATTTTGCCCCTTTCACAAGTTCCAAAGCAAATAAGACTCCTCACCCCTCTGCACTTGTAGTCAAATAAGTAAAAGGGGAGGTCAGGCCCGTCACACCTGGTCACACGGAAAAGCTGTCCCCAAGTGAGTCTTTCCCTCTTTGTAACCTAGTTTAATTCCCATCAGACATAGGGATAGTTGTTTGACAAGCCAATATGGCCGAAAGCCTCATATGAAGGGTCTTGCAGCTTGTAAAAGTAATTTCCAAAATGAAACACATTCATCATAAATAAAAGCACAAACACATGTAGTGGTTTATACTTTTGGTTTAATCTCAATTTGTCTTTCTCCCCTGGACTAGAAATCCAGTGTAGTTTGCCATTAATTTATTGAATCTGGTTTTGGACAATACTTCTGTAGTGTAGCTGCACGTCCTGGTACTGTATCCTCTGACCTTTATTTTCCATGTTACAGAAGGAAAAAAGCGGAGATTACGCTTGCATAAACTCTAATTTGCACAGTTCACAGCTACTACTTGTGCAGTAATTGCTTTATGCGGCTGTAATCCATAACCTGTGAAGACAGCACATCATCTAAATCTCATTCCAAATAATACTTCTGTGTAGTGTTAGCTGTGAATTTACCCTGTACAGCTGTATCTCTATAAATATAATTCCATGTATTAATAGTCACAGAAAGACTGTAAGTGAGCAACTATTTTTATGAAACGCACCACTATGGATAAATTAACTTTTACAGAAATCTTGTTTACTGTATGATATTCTAAAACACTGTCAAATAAAATATATATCCAAAAATCTTTTCTTTTTCCAACTATATAAACTGTGTGTTAATTTGAATTCAGTAAGGACCAGAGGTTACATCTATTTATTTATTTACTTAATTTATTTATTTGTTTTCCCTTTTCAAGACAGGGTTTCTCTGTTGTCCTGGAACTCATTCTATAGACCAGGCTAGCGTCAAACTCAGAGATCTGCCTGCCTCCACCTCCTTAGTACTAGAATTAAAAGTGTGTGCCACCATTCCCCACCCCATATTTTTAATTTAATTTAATTTTTTTTAGCTTTTTAAAGCTGCATTTCCCCCCAGATCTCTGAAGTATAACTTTAATGCCCCATAGAGCTTCTTTGAGACTTCAATACGGATGTAGTGGCAGTAGGTGGAAAAGACGCTTTTGACTCCAGTCGACTAAGAATCCAGTTAGCACAGGTCTTCTGCTTATATCACTTAAGACTTGGCAATCATTCCTGCTATTTGCTACATTGATCCCTTAAATCCGTTTACAGAAAAAAATGACAGTGTCAATCATCAACAGACATCATCACATTGTTTCCTTTTAATTCTCTAGTTCATGCAGAAGTCAACATACACAGCAGCAGTGTTTGAGTCCAAAACCAATGGCTGGTTATAGGTTTTACCTTGCATGAGAAGGAAAATTCTGCATGGGTTTGAACATGGGGTTTGTGATCCAAGAGAAGAGTTCTCAACTACTGCTGAGGGGACTTTTCCCAGTTACATCAGTAGGAGACCTTAAATTCTAAACCTGTCACAAATCACTTTCAGAGAAGAAGGGCAGGAAGTATGAAATCAAACACAAAACAGTTATAAAAAAAAATCAAAAAGCTGGCAGAGCTTGTTATGGAATAATGCAAGAATGTTCCAGTATTTCCAGAAAAGGCAAGAGATACATGAAACAATGTAGTTACCAAAATGTAAACACTAATAATGCATAGTAATTACCATTTTGAAAAAAAAATGTACAAAACAAGTCAGAGCCCAGAGGGTTAGAGCAGCAGATCCAGCCTACAGAGGGTGGGAGAGCACCAGGGGAGCCTGCAGAGGGTGGCAGAGCACCATACCAGCCTGCAGAGGGTGAGAGAGCACAAGCCCAGCCTGCAGAGGGTGGGAGAGAGCAGATCCAGCCTGCAGAGGGTGGGAGAGAGCAGGCCCAGCCTGCAGAGTGTGGGAGAGAGCAGGTCCAGTCTGCAGAAGGTGGGAGAGAGCAGATCCAGTCTGCAGGGGGTGAGAAAGAGCAGGTCCAGTCTGCAGAGGGTGGGAGAGCAGGTCTAGTCTGCAGAGGGTGGGAGAGCACCAGACCAGCCTGCAGAGAGTGGGAGAGCAGATCCAGCCTGCAGAGGGTGGGAGAGCAGGTCCAGGCTGCAGAGGGTGGGAGAGAGCAGCTCCAGTCTGAAGAGGGTGAGAGAGAGCAGGTCCAGTCTGCAGAGGGTGGGAGAGCAGGTACAGACTGCAGAGGGTGGGAGAGCAGGAAAAGTATGCAGAGGGTGGGAGAGAGCAGGTCAGTCTGCAGAGGGTGGGAGAGCAGGTCCAGTCTGCAGAGGGTGGGAGAGAGGGTACAGTCTGCAGAGGGTGGGAGAGCAGGTCCAGCCACAAGAGGGTGGGAGAGAGCAGGTCCATTCTGCAGAGGGTGGGAGAGAGCAGGTCCAGCCTGCAGAGGGTGGGAGAGAGCAGGTCCAGCCTGCAGAGGATGGGAGAGAGCAGGTCCAGTCTGCAGAGGGTGGGAGACCAGATCCAGCCTGCAGAGGGTGGGAGAGCAGGTCCAGTCTGCAGAGGGTGGGAGAGGGCAGATCCAGTCTGCAGAGGGTGAGAGAGCAGGTCCAGCCTGCAGAGGGTTAAAGAAGCAGGTCCAGCCTGAAGAGGGTGGGAGAGAGCAGTCCCAGTCTGCAGAGGGAAGGAGATCAGGCCCAGGCTTCAGAGGGTGGGAGAGAGTAGGTCCAGCCTTCAGAGGGTGGGAGAGCAGGTCCAGTCTGCAGAGGGTGAGAGAGAGCAGGTCCAGCCTGCAGAGGGTGGGAGCACAGGTCCAGTCTGCAGAGGGTGGGAGAGCAGGTCCAGCATGCAGAGGGTGGGAGAGCAGGTCCAGTCTGCAGAGGGTTGGAGAGCAGGTCCAGTCTGCAGAGGATGGGAGAGCACCAGCCCAGCCTGTCGAGGTTGGGAGAGAGCAGGTCCAGCCTGCACAGGGTGGGAGAGAGCAGGTCCAGCCTGTAGAGGGTAAGAGAGAGCATGTCCAGTCTACAGAGGGTGGGAGAGCAGGTCCAGGCTGCAGAGGGTGGGAGAGCAGGTCCAGTCTGGAGAGGGTGCGACAGCAGGTCCAGTCTGCAGAGGGTAGGAGAGAGCAGGTCTAGCTTGCAGTATGTGGGAGAGAGCAGGTCCAGCCTGCAGAGGGTGAGAGAGAAGGTCCAGTCTGCAGAGGGTGGGACAGAAGGTCCAGTCTGCAGAGGGTAGGAGAGCAAGTCCAGTCTTCAGAGGGTGGGAGAGCAGGTCCAGACTGCAAAGGGTGGGAGAGAGCAGGTCCAGGGTGCACAGGGTTAGAGAGAGCAGGTGCAGTCTGCAGAGTGTGGGAGAGCAGGCCCAGCCTGCAGAGGGAGGGAGAGAGGAGTTCCTGTCTACAGAGGGTGGGAGAGAGCCAGTCCAGCCTGCAGAGGGTGGGAGAGAGCAGGTCCAGCCTGCAGAGTGTGGAAGAGAGCAGGTCCAGTCTGCAGAGGGTGGGAGAGAGTGGGTCCAGCCTGCACAGGGTGAGAGCAGCAAGCCCAGCCTGCAGAGGATGGGAGAGAGCAGGTCCAGCCTGTAGAGGGTAAGAGAGAGCATGTCCAGCCTGCAGAGGGTGGAGAGCAGGTCCAGTCTACAGAGGGTTGGAGAGCAGATCCAGTCTGCAGAGGATGGGAGACACCATCCCAGGCTGCAGAGGGTGGGAGAGCACCAGACCAGCCTGCAGAGGGTGGGAGACAGGAGGTCCAGCCTGCAGAGTGTGGGAGAGAGCAGGTCCAGTCTGCAGAGTGGGAGAGAGCCGGTCCAGTCTGCAGAGGGTGAGAGCAGCAGACACAGAATGGAGAGGGTGCATAGAAGCAGACCCAGGCTGCAGAGGGTGAGAGAGAGCAGGTCTTTCCTGCAGAGGGTGGGAGAGAGCAGGTCCAGCATGCAGAGGTTGAGAGAGAGGGTTCAGTCTGCAGAGGGTGGAAGAGCAGGCCCAGTCTGCAGAGGGTGCGAGAGCACATTAAGTCTGCAGAGGGTGGGAGAGCAGGTCCAGTCTGCAGAGGGTGGGAGAGAGCACATCCAGTCTGCAGAGTGTGAGAGCAGCAGGCCCAGCCTGCAGAGGGTGTGTAGGAGCAGACCCAGCCTGTAGAGGGTGAGAGAGAGCACGTCTAGTCTGCAGAGGGTGGGAAAGCAGGTCCAGTCTGCAGATGGTGGGAGAGAGCAGGCCCTGCCTGCAGAGAGTGGGAGAGAGCAGGTCCAGCCTGCAGAGCGTGAGAGAGCAGGCCTCGATGCAGAGGGTGGGAGAGAGCACGTTCAGTCTGCAGAGGGTGAGAGAGCAGGTCCAGCCTGCCGAGGGTGGGAGAGAACAGGTCCAGCCTGCCGAGGGTGGGAGAGAGCAGTTCCAGCCTGCACAGGTTTGGAGAGAGCAGGACCAGTCTGCAGAGAGTGGGAGAGAGCAGGCCCAGCATGGAGAGTGTGAGAGAGAGCAGGCCCAGCCTGGAGAGTGTGGGAGAGAGTAGGTCCAGTCTGCAGAGGGTGGGAGAGCACAGGTCCAGTCGGCAGAAGGTGAGAGAGTGCAGGTTCATTCTACAGAGGGTGGGGAGCAGGTCCAGCCAGCAGAGGGTGGAGAGCAGATCCAGTCTGCAGAGGGTGGGAGAGAGCAAGTCCAGTCTGCAGAGGGTGGGAGAGCAGGACCAGTCTGCAGAGGGTGGGAGACCTGGTCCAGCCAACAGAGGGTGGGAGAGAGCAGGACCAACTTTCAGAGGGTGGGAGAGAGCAGGTCCAGCCT